ATTAAGGTTGGCGTGGGAGGGAACATCTCACACATAAGACTGCTGCCATTTTCTCTCTCTGTGGGAACCGAGCTATTGACCCACTCAGCAGTGAAGCGAGTGCAGAAAAGACTCAGACAATCTAAAGCTCCTTCTCCCCGTCCCTTTCTGAAGCCCAGACTACGTGGGGACAAGGAGGCATTTATTCCCCAGCTTTCTGTAACCCCCCCCTCCAGTCACTGCAACCAACAGGCCTTTTTTTTTCATGACGTCAGCCGCTCATATCCTCCAGCCCACATCCACAGCTATTGACTCTGCTTGGAAGAGAACAATCTGCTCTGCCGAAAGACTGGCAGTCCCACTAAAAGCACCTTTTGTGTGCCTAAACAACATGGAGTCCATTAGTAAAGCCGGCATTATGCTAGATTCAGTTTGATTTCTGTTCATGTCAATAAACCAAACTGAAAACAAAAGCCTCACAGGTTTGATGGATTCTGAATTTTTAAGCTATATGAAATGTCAAAGAGGTTCTTGATGGTGTTATATTAGGAAATTCACCAAAAAGGAAGGAATTACAAAATAAGTCGTAATATGAAGCATTTGTCTTTCGCCGGTTTTTAATTAAACTCAAAAAGTGCATCAATATAGGAGGTTAGTCTTCTGAAGGCCATGTCAATATGAAATACAGGCTATGCTCTCTCAGGTTTTATATTTCCTACCTTGTAAAGGCTTTTAGGTTATGAGCCATTTTATGAGCAAGCAGAAACACCGCCACCTTTCCTAGCTAAACTTATTAAATGTAATTGGATATCACAATGGTTCACAGCATTAATAAAACTTTCCTGTCCGTGAATAAGAGACCTACAATAACTTCCTTCATAGTGTTGGATATCCACCATAAATAATAGACCTTTTGCACACATCTTCACAAATACAGATGCATTTCACACGCTGAATGAGCCTTCCAGGTAGGAGTGGGCATTCGGTGCATATCGTTACCGTCATTAATTTCTAGTCATAAAAATAAGTTTGATTTATCATCAAAATGATAAATTAGAATTAATATTTTTACTATTTCTACACTGTTTTTTTTTTTTTTTGTTGCACTGTGACATCTGTAAATTTGCAGAATATAATTGCATGCAGCCATGACGGGAAGTTTTTGGATACAAAGCATACTTCTTTATGTAACTGCTGTCCTGAAGAAGCTCATTTCAAAGTTCTATATTTTCTAATATGTTTGTGACACTTTGATTACTGTGGTATCCAGTCACAGTTATAGTTATCTAAGGCTACGTTCACACTGCAGGCCTTAATGCTCAATTCTGATTTTTTTGCATTGCCATTCGCATTTCCAAATATATGCGACTTCTCTGTGATCTCCTATGTGAAGTCATACAAGGCAAGTGTCCCGCATGCGCAGTAGAGGATGCAATGACTCACAGGCCAGCATTCTCTGTGTTTACTATTTATTTTTTTAGCTTAAATTTGAAAAATGTGACCCAGAGAAGAAGCCATTTCTCAGATCCATCATGGAGCTACAACCATCCAGCATCGTCCTTCTCACAGGACTTCATCCTACTTTTACTATCGATGCAGAATCCTTTCCTATTGACATTGGCTTTGTAACCAGAGGTAAATATTGATATACTTTGAATATATTTGAATAAAAAAAAACAACTATCTATAGACAATTTTTTCGTGAAATCAATTGTTGCCTGGATGTATTATTCTTTTTTGTTAATTATTTAATATCAAAACACTTTTGTATGATAATTAAGTATTTAAAATAAAATAAAAATTGTGAGTTTTGAAATTAACATTCTATAAATGCTTTCAGAGCTCCCTGATTGAGGGTATTAAGCCACTCATTCAAAATGAATTTAAGTATTTAATTTTTAATCATCCACTAAACATAAAGTTAAGGAGAGAATTGTAAAACTAAGAATTATTTACTTACTGCTGTAAAAGGTGAAGGCAGACCAAAAATAAACAAATGACAAAGGCAAGGGTTTTTAATATTTGCTCTGTTAAAAACTCAAAGTACCATCTTAAGATAAGTATGAATGTATAGGAGGAAAAGGCCTGTAATGTAATTATCCCTGCCATGTGGAGGCAGATGACTAAATCAGGCCAAACAGTTAATATTTTAGGATGTCCAATCTATTATTGATGAATGGCTGTACCTTGCAGAGCAGACAACATATCAAATATCTTTCCAGGCTCCTCGCCATAGATTCCCTAGTCCCTGGAAGGTGGGAGTGTAAACTACTAAGGACACTTCCAAACAAAATCTCAAATCAAAACAATTGGTGATCAAAAATATTTGTAAATTATGCTTTTGTTAAAGTCATAGGGAAGTCATATTTAAATTGTAAATAATTCTGGCTTAAACATGTATATAAATGTACTCTTTATCAGACGATATTGTCCCAAAAGTTAGAAAATGTAAAAAAAAAAAAAAAATCCTGTCTTGAAATCTTTGCGGGTTTTTTTTGTTATCTTATGTAGGCCAGTTAGTTATACGTCAGCTTGTACACCTAAATTCGGCCAATCATATATCAACGGTCATCTGTCAATCAAATTTTTTAGTCATAGCATCTTGATTCATATGTCGCAGCTAATATACGCAACGGTTGAAATAAGAAATAAGAATAATTTTTCCGTCCCAGTGTTCACGGGGATGGACGTCTGTGTCTTCAGCAGGCGTAGAGCTAACAGAACTGGCAGCGTTGCGAGGCAAGGGCTCAAATATGTACGGCTGTAAGCCTTCTACACCAAACCATGCTTCTGCCGCCCTGGCGTCCTCTTCCACAACATCTTCATCTGCACTTTCCTCCTCTAAATAAAAAATGTATGATGAGGAGACTCATCCACGAACTCCGACACAAAACTCTCCTCCTCTTGCGTGTTTCCGCTGTCCATTGTTAAGGTTTCAGTTTGTGGGGGTTGTGTTTTGTTCTCTTTCAGTTTCTTCGTGCATCCACCAGATGGTGCCATTGGTTCTCTGTTGACCTGGAGGGCCTCTTCCTTCTCTAAACTACTCACACCTACAGCTCGTTGATCATCACCGTCTGAGGAGTATATGAGGAGTATATGATATATTGCCAGTATTGGGTACTCTAGTCCGTCTGACTTTTGCTAAGTCAATTCTTTGAGCTTTTGTTAATCTGAGACCTCTAGCTCTTACCAAGTTTTTTCTCTTGTGAATTTTTGGCAGGATTACTACAGATCAACTGGATGAATCTGGTCCTTCAAGCAGTGGAAGGAATTCTCTTGTCACGCTGACAAAAGAAACGTTTCACCTTATCTGAATGCCACCCATTTCAGGAAATCTAGTGACAGTCTCCTCAGGACCACCATAAGTCTGCCTGTCTGCCCTCCAGCAATGTAATCTCCATTACAGTTCAAGCCTCCTCAAACAGGAACCCTGGAGTAACCTCAAACCACAACAGTGAGTTCTAGTCAGTCCATTTCTCAGTCTCTGCCTGTTATACCACCGACCTTGAACTCACCATTGTTGATTTCTACCTAGAGATCAGTTCACAAGACCGCTTGATCCCCCCCCAAGCTGAGAAACTAGTAGTTTTTTGTCCCCTTAATTTTACTTTGTTCCAATAAACTGTTAAACTGCTTTCTGTTCTCTGAGAGTGTTTCTGGATGTGGGCAAAACACATAAGACCCATCATGACATCCATAGCGTTCCTTGAAAATGTCGTTGGTAATTGCTACTTGGTCCCAATGTAATTTCCCATTGGGAACCTACTAGCACTAGGGGTGTGGGAAATAATCCTTTTGGCGATATATTGTGATATTCGGCTGCCCAATATAATATCGATCTTTCACTTCTTAGTATCGATAAAAAAAAAATGGTTAATAAAACATTGATGGGAAAATGGGCTACCTCTGCACCAACACTCTGGCAGAAAGCGCTGTGGAGCCCTTTAACTGTGCGTGCAGCACTAAATCTGTATTTGAGGCAGTCACAGTGGAATAAAACCCCAAACAACATGGATAATAATACCTAATCAATATTTTCTGTTGAAAATATACAGCATTTGCTGTTTTATCTCATCATTTGATTTTGATAGCTGGGGAAAATATGGCAATATATAGTGATACTGCAATATCGTGATAATATTGTATCGTGATCCAAGTATCGCAACATGTATCGAAACGCAACACTCATGCCAATACTCACCTCTAACTACCACTAAGTTACTAACTGGTTAGATGCTGTGACAAACCGGCCACAACCAAAAAGCTTGCGAACCTTCCACCACAACAATCCCGCCCCCTTGATAATCTAGCAATCACATTCATTTATTCACTTGTGTAAAGTCAGACACCACTCGGGAGAATTCGGAAATGCAACTGTTGGAACAGCCTTTTACCTACAACTTTAAACCTTTACTGTTTTTGCATCAGCCTTTTGAGATTCTGCAATAGAGGCAGATTTGATTAAAAAGACTACTTTAAATAACAAATCTGAAATGAGGAGCCATTTTTATATCCCGGTTATACCATCAAAAGGTCTTTCCATAATTACATGTCAGATTAAATTTGATGGAGATTAACCCTCCTGAAGTGTGACGGCAGGAGATTAAATTTGGGTGAATATCAGACCCGATGGAAACAAGTAAAGGCGCCATCATTGTTTACAACTTCAATACAACCTAATTTCTTTGAAAATCTGACAGAAATTCTGTTTAGCAGAATGTTAGCCACTTCAGGCTGTATAACTGCATTTAGTAAGCATTGGACTAAAAAAGGCCAGAGGTTCAGGAGTATGAACCCCTATCCTCTGACAGAAGGAAGATCTACGAGCTTATCCTGATCTACACTTCTTCATGCTTTCCAGCCTCTCAACCCACCAATAAAACTACAGAACCTTTTAGACGTGAACACAGCTGGGTTTGTTTATTTCGCTTCATTTCATTTTATGGGTTATAGGTCAATAAAATACATTTATATAAACTGACATTTATTTTCAGTAACAAGGTTCTGGTCGGTCTACTTACTGGTGGTGTTTCCAGACATTTGGATGATGCATTTGCTCTCTTTTTCGGTCTCTCTTGAATTGAAGGGGCGGACCCGCACCGCTACCTTCACAGAAGCCCCTGCCATGATGTGTTCTTCTAAGCACCTTCAGGTGCCTTCTCCAGTGCCCAGGTAAGGGGGAGGTGTGAGTAGGTCCCTGTAAGGGTGGACAAAGTATATCATTATAAAAACAGATTAATTAAAATAAAATGTTATGCAATACAAAAATGTTAAGAGACAAATTATTAAGAAGCAGAAAATTATGCACCGTTTTCAAAATTTGTCTAAAACAAAAATCTGAAGAGTGGGATTTGCATGTTTTCAGTCAATATTTTGGGGTATGTTTCTACCAGCTCACAAACAGAATTTTTCTGATTTTTTTAAATTTTTTTTTTATATATATATAAAAATTAACAGCCTTGGTGGAAAGTTTCTATAAACTAGGGATTTCCTGAGTGGACATTAATAATTAGGAAAGTCCCAAATTTTTCATTTCTGATACCATACCTATATTGCAACTTTGAGTATTGACCGATATAGCAGTATGAATCATACATATTTTTTTTACTGATTTTGTTGAATGGAATTATATAAAATGTTTGGCCAAGTGATATTTCTCAAACAGAGAACAACACTTAACATTGGGTATGAGAAAAATTGACCAATGTCTTAATACCCAGAGAGTTACATAAACATAAACAAAAGCGCATAGAAATAAAGTTTTTTTTTTTATGTTACTTATTTGGAAAACTTTAAATGCAGGCCCATATATTATGATATAAATTTATTGGCTAACATTGAACTGACATCCAATACCAATATCGTATCGCGACATCCTCATTGATAAAATCAGCCCAAAAAAATATATATATATCTGTAATAGATCAGCCTGCTTATAAGTAAGGTGATAGAAATTCTTTACCTCTGTTAAAGGTTTATATAACCAATTAGATAACAGCAAATGTTTGAGCTGTTCTTATGCATCTTATCAATGCCTAATGCCTAGATTAAATCGTTTCACACAACATAAGTAATAAAAGTATGTATGATTCATATTGATATAGTATGGTGTCAATAACAGTATTGGTCGATACTCAAAGGTGAAATATTAGTATCATATCAGAAATTTTAAAAATACCTAATTTAATTACAACTTTCAAGTCAAGCCATTATTTTCCCATTAGGATTAAATCTGAAATGGACTGGGCCATTTAAAACCATGAAAAGGCTTGGATCTGAACCATCCCCACTGTAGCTCTGGCTGCAAGTTTAGACTCCTTGTTCTTCTGAAAGATGAACCTAAATCCCACAATCTCAATTTTTTCACAGCCTATAATAGATTTGCTATAAGGATAGCCAAGCATTTATCACCTTTCATCCTCAAAACGACTCTGACCAGCTTCTCTGTCACTGCTGGTGCCAACCAGCAGCATGATGCTGCCACCATGAGATAATGTCATGAAGATGTGTTGTGTTCTTTTGTTGCCACACCTTTTATATATTGCATGTTGGCCAAAAATCTCATAATTGCTACATTGACATCATTTTCTAAACAAACCTCGAACCTTTATGGATCTGCTGATTTACAATAATTCATTAACCAACAGTTGATAATTAATCATTAACAAGAGGATGTCTGCAATCGTTTTTTTTTTTTTTACAATGGGTTTTATACCGTGGGGATCGTAGTAAAGGGAGTGGACATGCCACACCCTTCAGATTTTATTAAGTACAGAAAATCTCATTACTTTTGACCTAAAATATCAAATACACTGAGGTTTATAGCTATAAGTTGACAAAATTCGAAAAGGTTTAAGGGGTGTGAATGCTTTTAAAATACATGACTTATTCATCAAAACAAACTAAACCTTTTTGCTATGAGTTGTTTTATATATATATAAAAAATATATATACATATAATTGCAACAAAAATGTAAAAAAAAAGAGTACCATTCTAGGACAAAGGAGAAGGGCAGGGCAGCATGGCAGTAATAAAAAAATAAATAGATAAATAGAGTCATGCGCGGTCAGCTGGGGTTAGAGGAAGAAGGATAATAAAGCTAGCCGTAACAAAAGAAGTGCAGCAGCAGCTAAATGTCAGGATGTTTATGTGGATGACAACGGGGATGAAACAGATCAGAAATCTGGGGAGTGGCTTTTATTCAGCAGGACAAGTCATTGCATCTTTAAAAAAATAAAATAAAGAACAACAACATAAAAATAAATCAATCCGCTTTAGATCAGTCTGGGTGTGATTTAGGAGGATGACTCATCATCAAAGTGTAATCTATCAATGTTGTCACTTAAGAGATCTGTACCCTAGATTCAGCTACCACTGCCGCTTCCTAAAACATTAACGATCGAATGTGAATAAGAGCTTACTCACTCCTTTCGGTCATTTGGTAGCCAGTGATTGGGGGAATGCATTAAGATACGAATATGCTCCCTCATTTCACGGACAGTCATCCCTGATTCATTCCTACTTGCTGTGTCATCCTTCTCTCTTGAAATCCTCATAAACGTGACCCCCTACCACATCAACTAATGTAAGATATTTAGTCAAAACAAACAGGACTAGGAAAAGGGGTTTTAATATAAAACTCCTCTGAAATAGCTGCATGCTGGGGGAAACACAATAAAATTGAAAACAAGTAGAAAAGATTAACAGTAAATTGTTTCTTTTTTATTTGCAGTTAAATGGAGGGATTTAATTAAAACTACGAGTGGGCTTCAACTGAGTCAAATGAAGCCTATTTTTATTTATGGGTTTGATCATAATCTGCTCCTTATGCAGATCAGCTGGGTGGACGCCATCTTTAAAGTGCAAAAGCTGTTAAAGACACACACCAATGATCAGGAAACTTGGCAAATTAAATACTGTGGAGCAGAGGTGGGGTCATGTATTAAGATTTTAACTATATTTTAAAAACAAAATCTAAATAAATATGATTTTATATTGAAATGGTCTAAGTTGTGTCATAATTTTACTTTTTTTGTAAAAATGTCTTGTTGACATAAAAAATAAAGCCTTGAATAATAATTACTAAAAAACATTTTTGAAAAAATTTATATCGAAAAAAATCGATAAAAATATATCGAACGGAAGACGCTCGTGCAGTGACATTTGTTATTTTGAAAGCTCGCACCTTTACAGACAGCAGGTTTAAGCACTGTTTGAATTAAAAAATTGATTTGATAATCCATCTAAACGCAGATGGCTTCAAAATAAACACTCTAATGGTGTCATTTAAAAACTTGTAAAGTTAAAAATTTGGCTCTCAGGTTGCTTCCCAGGCAGTGACACCGCATTTGTCAACCGCCCCGCCCTCGCGGCTTAAATGTAGCCCCGTTTTTATAATTCATGGCCGCAACAAGACAACCTGACAGTGTGAGCTGCGTTCATCTATAATAATGTCCTCCTGCTTATGAAGGAGACCGTTTTCCCCAATAGTGACAGCCTGTCATCTGGCCGCGCCCTATGCTCGTTCACTCCCAGGAGATTCAACACTCAGTAAAATCACGAACTGTGCCTTAAAAACTACAAGAGAGGATATTATAAATGAGCAAAGAGGAGGAATGTTGCCATACCTGCGAACAGCTCCTGAGAACTGAACGTGTCTGTCGTGTTTGTAGGTTTTACATCCAGCCCACCGTGGATACCTCCACTTCCGCCGCTCTCCTCCAAGACTGTCACCAGCCTCTCCCCTTCATCAGGACGGGACGGGAGGAGGATGTCAGCGAGGGGTTCTGCCCCAAAGCCCGAAAGAACATCCGCCCCCTCCGCCTTAACCGGTTTTCTCCTCAACACGGATGAAGTAAGTTGGTCGTTCGGCTGCTGTTTAGTGAGGCGAAGCGGTCAAAATGGCTCTGTTGTCTGGGTGTCTTTGGTGAGGATGCTGGAGATGCACCGAGCCGCTGACGTCATCAGCAGGGGGGGGTGGGGGGGTTCAGCAGCATCGATGCAGCAGCGCGTGAAGGAAGGGAGGGGGTGAGGGATGAGTAGATGAAGATTAGGCCCTTCATTAAACATCCATGATTACGGAAGAGGATTTAAAAAAAAAAAAAAAAAAATTACTGATTTTTAAATATTTCAGTTTGGTATGGCAAAAACAAAACCAAAATTCTGACTTTTTTCTCAGAATTCTGACCTTTTCTCAAAAAGTCAGAAATTTTAGATTAAAGTCAAAATTCTGAGAAAAAAGTCAGAATTCTGAGAAAAAAAATCATTGTACATTGCATATGTACACATATGTGTGTGTACATACTGCAAAAAATAGTGCAAAAGAACCTTTCGTCATGGTTTTATCTAAAGCTCGGACCCACACGCAGAGAAACCAATTCAGAGAGACCAGGGGAAAAGGTTTAACAGGTTTTATTGAAGAGATAAAGCACGGTGCAGTGTTGCTCTGAACTCTGCTCAGCTGGAACTGGAAGGTGAGGGGAAGACACAGCGATTAGTTCAGGCTCAGTGGGAAATTTCATTTGTGGATTTGGAGAAGAGGATCTGGTTGTTGACTCACGTTTCCAGAGAAGTCGTAGAATCTTTGACTCCAATCTGTGTGCTGTATTCCAGTGATAGTCTGATTCGGTGGAGGGCGAAACAGGGTTTACCCAGAACACGGTCGGTTGTAGGTGAACGGAGAAACTGACTGCACGGGTCGTAGTGGAGATGATTCCCTTGATCAGTGTTTAAACTCAACGTCCTCTCTTTGGACAATGGATCCAAACCTCCAGTTTGAATCCCCGGCTCAGTTTGAGGCTCAGTTGATCCAGTTTGCAGGATGACTTCCTGCTGAGAGGCAAAGACAAAAAAACAAAGTTTAAACTCAGGTTGACAAGAACTCAGTCTTACTCAGCAAAAACTCAGCTTAGCTAGAGTACCCAAAACTGGCAAACACTCTGGCGTCGAGGTAGTGGCAGTCAGCAGCTTAAGAGCGCTCCGTTAACAAGGTAACCATCAGCAGGTGTGTGAGGAGGCGGACCAGAACCAGGCGCCTTCTGTTGGAGGAAGGGAGACAAACACACAAAAAAAACAAACACACAGACTGGAGCCCTGACACCTTTCAATTGCTGGTTGTTTTTGGACTATATGGACAGTTGGAATCAAGTTAATTAAATTCTGTTAAATGTATTTATATAGCACAAATTCACAACATATGCCATCTATTAAAACAATTCAACCAGCACATATAGTCTGATTGGTTCAAAGTTTTTTATCTAAGGAAAACCAGCTGATTGCATCGACTCATTGACTCGATAGCAATTCCTCACAAGGAAAGACACACACAGGCAGACAAGCTCCGAGCCAGCTCCCATGTCAGAGAAAGAAAGAGACTGACTGTCTGACCATGACAGCTAGTCACGGTCAGAGAAACAGGACTACCCTGAAAAATAGGCAAAAATCTCCAACATCTATAATCAAAGGTTTTGATGGCAGCAGCACAGCTGATATTTCTCTCCTGGATGGAGTCACAGCAAAACAGGAACAGACAAGATGAAGCTAGTACGATGAGAAAAAGCAGCGATAACATAAAGCTAGAGGTTGAACTAAAAAATACTGCTGAATGGGATAATATAGAATGAAGCAGAATGATGAAATGTGGTCCTTATGCCTCCAGCAGTCTAAGCCTATAGCAGCATAACTATAGAGATCGCTCAGGATAACCTTAGCCACTCAAACTACTGTATTAGCTGTATTAAAAGGGAAGTTTTAAGCCTTGACTTGAAGGTATACTGAGGGGTCTACTTAATGGACTAAAACTGGTAGTTGGTTCCACAGGATAGGAGCCTGAAAACTAAAAGATCTGCCTCCCATTCTACTTTTGGAAATTCCAGGAACCACTAGTAAACCTGAATAAGAGATACCAAGACCTGGTCAGCAGTTCTTGGTATTATAAGCAGTGTGAGCAAGTGTCTGATTATGATGGAAAATTTTGCATCGCCATATATAGTTGATTTCAAAAGTAATCATAGTCCTTTAACTTTTCCACATCTTGTCTCATTACAACCCAAAACATAAATGTACTTTATAAAAAAAGAATATATGAAAGACCAACGTAAAGTGGAATACTATTGTGATGTAGAAGGAGTTTTTTGGTAGGAAAAAATAAAAAAAACTGAAAAGGACATTGTGCTGCAAATTCAGCTACAAGTCTCTTAGGATTAGTCTCTACCTCGTTGCACATCTAACCACTGGTATTTGTGCCTATTCTTATTCACAAAACAGCTCAAGCTCAGTTAGATTACATCGAGAGCATTCATGGCTAGCATTTTTCAGATCTTGCCATGGATTTATCAATAAGGTTTACATTTGGACTTTGACTGGGCCGCTGTAATACATGAATTTGTTTAATACCGTCCCATTGTAGACTTTGCTTTATATTTAGGGTCTTGGTTTTGTTGGAAGGGGAACCTCCTCCATTTTCTTCCAGACTCTAATAGGTTTTCTTCCAAAATTGCCCTGTATTTGCTTCAATGCATCTTCCAATCAAAACTGACTGATCTTCCCTGTCCCTGCTGAAGAGAATCACCCCCAGAGCATGATGCTGCCACCATAATGTTTGACAGTGGGGATGGTGTGTTTAGAGTAATGTGAAATGTTAGTTCTCAACCAATATAGCATTTAATATTATGGTTATATTTTTGGTGATATTTGACCAAATCACCTTCTTCTACAGGTTCCCTGTTTTACCTAACATGACTGCTTGCAAACAGGACCCCTTATGCTTTTCTTTGAACAATGTTTTCCTATCACCACTCTTCAATAAAGACCACCTTTTTTCAGAGAATGACTAATAATACAGTTCGTGCAGAGTCTGCATGGGCCTTTTTCGCTGCATCTCTCATCTGTGCTCTCCTCTCATTTAACAGGAACATGTTTCGGATTTCAGCTCCCAGAAAACAACATAACACTGTTATTAGTTATTTCTGATAAATGACAGATAAAAAAAAAAAAGAACTGTGTATTTGTAACACTTTCTGTGCAATGATTAGTAATATTAGCACATAAAGAATTAACGTTCAAGTCATCCATCCATGCATGGTGAGGTGCAAAATCTGACGGATGTATGTTTTTATAATGTGGAAGGAAATCATACATTCTGTGCCCATGAATTTGAAGTTGGAACCTGTTAAGTATGTGGCATTAGCCACACAATGTGCTAGGATCCATATTTCCTGTTTTGAAAGAAATGTAACTATGGTTATTCCACAATCTATTTAAGACTCTAACAAAAAGGCCTCTTTTATACCAATAGTGTTTATAGTGATCAGACCGAATATGCTGCAATGACAAAGTAGTTTTTTGAGGAGAAGCCATTTGTCAGCTGTTAAATTGACTGCAAGGATGAGAGGAACAGATCGAATTATGAACTTGCAAAGATTAGGACAGTAATGGTTTGATGGGTGTACGGCATTTGCTATAAAATAATTTGGCCCAAGAGAATTGAAAAAAAACAACATGAAAACTGGTAACTACCTTTAGTGTAATCTGAATTTTGATTGTAAATGTTTTGAAAACTGTTCCACTACAGGCATAGGGGAGGTAATTCTAGTGAACATAATCTATCTAACCAGTGGTAGGAGGCACTGAATGATCAGGTTTCAGTCTGTGGAAAACATAATGCAATGTTGTTAGCGACCGTGCTCTCTGCACTGACCAACCACTCCTACTCCCTGTCTTTCTGTTGTAATGCTATTGTGTTTTGTTGCAAAGTAATATTGCTTTTTGACATTTTCTGAGTCTGCAAACACATTTGTGAAGCACAGAATAAATTATGAAATGATTGGTGAATTAAAACAGATTAAAAAGGAAAATTAATCATATTCCAGCACATAAAGTAGAGAAGCTGCAGAAGACAAATGAAGCCCAACATTTAACAGAGGGAAAATCCAAATCAAGTCACTCAGGTTTAAACTAAGGCCAACATGTACGGTATGAAAAAGGGTTTGTTTTACATGGAATAAGAGAAATATTTCAGATTTTTTTGAACGAGACGAAGATATGTAGCAGAATAAAAGAAAGAACCACTCAAGCGCTATGAATACAACATAGCTTATTCACTGAGGGAAGAGTGGAGAATGAAAGATGGGTTAGATCAGCGGTTATTAAAATATGAGGGCATGCCTAGTGTAATTACAGAGGGGCCTGTGACAAATAAATTGAAAATATTATCTATTTTGAGGATTTATTCTCTAGGTATTGATAGCAACATTGAATTTCGTTACGCAGTTTAATAAACAGTTATAAATAAAAGAATGACACTAAAAGTGGTAGTTTTGTGATTCAAAGGATAGTTTAGTTTATTTCATTGCAATATCTAATAGATGCAGTTGACTTTCTCTTTAAAACTCTTGAGGGATGGGTGTCATATGTGAGTGTTTGTGGTCATACTTTTTTTACCTGGTGTGGAAAATTTTCAGCAATATTTTACATTATAGGTACTTGTGGGGACCAACGACTGGTCCCCAGGAGGAAATGTTCCCTCTTCAGATAGCGGTTAGGTTTAGGAATAAGGTATGAATTTAATTTAGGTTAGCTAATGGTTAGGTGAAGAACATTCTCCGTGACTCTCCACACCCCATCAAATGACTGAGGCAGGTTCAAAAAGACAAAGGCAATGCACAGCCAGATGCATGTTTGTTAGAATCTCTCGTTCCATAGCTGAACCAGATGTTTAATTTATCAAAAACAGTGGAATGGATCTTAAAATTGAAATTAAAAAGGTGTGTGAAAAGGTATAATAATATTCAATAGATAATGGGTTTGTATATAGGTTCTGTTTAATAAAAGGCTTTGATTGTTGGGTAAGGTGCTAGGTTAAGGGTCTGGGTTAGGCCATAGAAATGAGCGGGAAATTAATGGATGTCAATTGAAAGTCCCCACAAGGACACACATCAACTATGTGTGTGTGTATCT